ATCTAACTAATATAGATCTTTCTAAAGTTAGAGAATGCTTTATTAATAATATCTTTGGATGATGTTTCTAACTTATCACTTTAACTGCAGATGCTAAAAAGCCTCCATTTAAAGGACTTGCATGTTATGTCAGAAATTGCTAGCGTATTCTCCTGATTCCTAGAAATTCTGTTGGAGTTGGAATATGGGGTAGCTAACCTACTCTGAATGCATCTTGGTGAGGTCACATGTAAAATTGGCCAGGGTTTGCAATAAATCTGGAGAGAAAAAATGTCTTAAGAAAAATCCAATTCTTCTGCTGGAACAATTATGTTTTCTTGGCAAACGTGCAGTTAATATTTCTATCCGGAAAGAGATGGCTAAGAGGACCTACCATCTTCGGAGTGGAAGGGAAGAGCAGAAATCTAGCTAATTTTGCAATAAACACTTTGATAAAGAAGAAATTAAAATTCATATTACCTAGTTCTTGCCTAGATCTTTGCAGACATAAGTTATGCAACTAGCCAAGGCCACAAGACAACAATAAAATCTATATAGGATCAATCTGTATAGTAGAATAAGAGATGAATGTTCACTAGTTCCTATTTGCTGGGCGTATGAGTCATTACATATTGCAGAATCCTAGGTCCTTAATATTTCATCATCATTAGAGCTTGGGTGGTTTATGATCTTGAGATTAGAATTTGACTGTAAAAAGAAGAGGCAATTACTTAAGATAGATAGCAATCACAGTAGGAATATGAAGGTCAATATATAATGCAATAGGAAAGAACACACAAGATGTTTTCTCAAGGCTAAGTTTAAGTAGTGATTTATTCAGATTCATTCTTGATAACTTCAAGCATTAAAAATCCACCCAAGTCACCTGAAACTGTATCAGCACATTGTGAAAGAAATATGATTTTCCACCTAGATTTTGATGAGATGCTGCAAGATGCTGCTCCCCCTATGCCATCAGATGCTGATTTTTCAGCTTTCTTTGTGCTACTCCTGCTATCTGTTGCAGCACTGTATCAGTCTTTGCTCACTTTTGGAACAAACCCATTTTTTCCTTTTAATTTGGGCTGTTTGGTCTCTCTATATTCAGGGAAATAAAACTGAGATTTGGGTCCATCTGGTCATATTCAGAATGGATTTTAATCTGTTTCTGTGGCCTGTAAACCAAAGGTGAGGGAATATTTAGTCATTTGCTCCACCTCACCTCAGCTGTAAGAAAACCTCCTCATGTGCCAGTTATGCCTATGACTGAAATGCATCAGACACTGATTCCACAGCCTTTAAATTACTTTAGCAGAAGCTCATCATTTGCATGTGGATTGAATAGATGGGATCATAGGAGCGCAAGGAAAGGCATCCGTACCATCCACGTGCAGCAGTGAAAGCAAATCTGCAATCACGTAGCTAATATAGGACGCAATCTAAACAGGCATTGACAACAGAGGGGTGCTGTAGAAAATGACTGTAAGAATGGAAAAATGTAAGAAGATGGTAAAGATACCATTACAGCAGTAATATAAAGACATGGGAGGTCTTTTGGATTATTAACAGATGTTTTGTTTGGTATTCTCAAGTTCCCCGCTCAAAATTTTTGTTTGCCACCCCACAGGCAGGGGCTTGGCACCCCGATTTCTGGGAGGTGCAAGGATGGGGAACTGAAGAAACGGGAAACACTGCTTCAGCAGTGAGGGAGCATGCTGCAGGGAAGCGGCAGCGCTCGGGGCACCGGGAAGGCAGCTGTGCTGCCTCGGTCAAAGGGGACCCTCTAGGGACCCTGGTAGCTAGGCCCAAGTCAGAGTAGCGACTGGCTCTGGAACTCAAGGCACATGTTCCTCCTGCCAACAGGGAAACCTGTGCGGTCCAGGAAACGCATCTGGAAGCCAAACTACCTTCACACAGTTCCGCTTTAAAATATCCAGTTCAAGATCTGGAGCGGCAGTTCCCCACTACGACAGGCAGGCTGCTGCCTCTACCATTAGCACCAGACTTATCCTTAAGGATCTAGAGGTCCTCCCAGCTCTGGCGTATGCAGGCTCATGCACAAAAGCAGGCCACACAAACCTCGCCTCCGTATGGAAAAAACACCAGAGAGCAGGCTGCCCTCTCACAGTGCTTTTAGCAACAGTTTGAGGCTTTCCTTTCCTTTCTTTCCCTTTTTTTTTCTCTCCACTCAAGTAATTACCAAGAAGGATGTCTAAGCTACTGAAATGTAGAAAACCCAAACCACATTTTTGTATGGTTAACTGTTTAGCATTTGAATTCAGGAGATTAACGTGAATCTTGATTCAACTTCGTTAATATCCACAAAGGAGCTTTCGCTGAAGACCGGGCAGCTCTGTTCTGCCTGGGCTCAAAAACAGCAACATCAGCTGCTCCAGGCGAAGGAGCTGGCATTTTTTTAAATAAACCATTCCAGAGTAGCCAGTTTAGAAAGAAACATTCTTCACAGCCTGAGACAGTTCATTTATGACTTGTGCTTGAAACATAACAGTTTATATCTCCTACACAATTCCTCGGGAATATTCAAAGGAACTTAAGGGAGGGAGAAGCTCGGCTCTGAACGAATTTCAGTAGCTAGTTAAGCTTCATTAGCTTAACTTGAAAAACTATAGCTTGTCATCCTAGCTAGTAGATTTGCGCGCATTCTCTTGACTGACATTCATAGTAATCCTTTTTAGAAGGCAAAAATACGAATTTCTATCATCCACCCTAGCTGGATGGAATCCAAATTATGCAATATCTGCAAAACAGCACAAATTCCAGTCCAGACATAAATTATTAAATCCGTACGGAGTGGCTAGCCCTCATCTGCATATAGGTGCAATACTCAATGCTTGGTAAAGGATTAGCGACATCCGAAACTATATTTTGCTTTTGGCATAATAACTTATCTATGCAGCCACATCTGTGCCACAGAGAAACTAATATACACATTTTTCGTCAGGGATATCTGGCATGGGCTTTAGTATCAGTGTGAAGCGAGTCATTTTTATTCTGCCTATAAGTAAAAAAGTATAAGAAGACAAGATGTATTTATCAGGCCTGCTTTATCATCACTTAACTTAGAAGTGGACAGCTTGGAGACGTGTGAGGAGCCACAAGAGTCACATCTTTCAGGCATGTTCCATTTAAATACCTCAAGCTCTGACCTTAATACCTAATTAAGGTGGGTGACAGATATTCACGCTTGTCTTGGTGCTGCTGGTTTCAGTGCATCTGAAAGCAGACTCAAAAACAATGCAGTGTCTAATTTACTTGCAAAATCAAAGAATTCCGATTTCGGGGGTTTCATTTAAATGAAAATTTAGATTCTGGAGAAGAAAACAAAACCCACTAAAACAGGAAGGATGGTTTTGTGGTTCAGTTTCTAGTATGGGGCTCTGAAGACCTGAATTCGGCTCTGTTCTGCTCCTAGCCCTTTTGCAGACTCTCTTGCTGTGACCCTAAGCAAATCACTGAATCTTGTTGTGCTTTAGTTCCCTGTATCTAAAAATGGTACCGCTTATCTGGTCAGTTCAGATAATGAGCACTTGCATGTAAGAGCTGTCATTTAAAATACTAGCACAAGTCAGATTCTAACCTCAAAACATTAATAATGACATAGGTGACCTTATTTACTTGAATAAAGGAAAATAGCATAAAGAATTCTTGAATAAAGAAAATAGCAATGTATAAGGCCTGGAAAAAGATGTTAATTACTCATTGACAAGAATCTTCATAAAAATAACACAATTCAGCTGATTTAACATTCACATATTAATTCCTACATTTGCTATACCAGACTGTGAACAAATTGTTATTCCATGGACATGTTGGCCTGACAATTAATTCAGCTTCATAACAGAATTGGTGACTTCAATTCTTAAAAATAAGGAGCCAGGTTTTTTTTTTCCCCCAGAGCATTATCGCCTTTGGGG